CCAGACTCACATACCCACATTCACACCTACATCCAGACCCACACCTGCACTCCAGGCCCATACACCCACACATAAGGACCGCATACTCATACCCACATCCATACCCTAGATTCCGACGCCTACACCCCACACCCACACCCATACATCCGTATTCACTCATAATGCATACTGAACAGGTTCTTTATAGTAGCATTTTTTTTACAGAACTAGTATTGACATGAATGTGAGCTGCTGTGCATTTGGATAGAGAGAACATCCACACCCTCACAGAAGATTGAATCTTTTTTCAAAAGTAAACCTTACATACGCGACCATGAGATACTGTGGGAGAGAAAAAAAATCAAGATTTTATTATTGACTTCGTCATATTGACTACTTGCGATAAGACTCTCTTGTGCTCTCTGTTTGCCGATAAGATATCGCTTCTTTTTGTTTGACTATATTCATATCACGCACTTCGTCACAAATGTTTGACGAACTTCAAGATACAATATAGGCAGTGTTGTCTGTTTGCGAAGGTTTTGTTGCAAAGAATCAAGTTTTCCCAAGGGAAAAACGGTAGACTCCAATCTCTTGGAGTCCCTTGAAGTCTCATGAAATTTTCGGTAGCTCTGCAAAAGTCTATCATAAAAATCTAAAACAGCTGCGTCTTGGTTGTGGGTAGGTGTGAGTATGGATGATTGTGAGTTTTCTCTTCACGCATACATCCACCCACCCACAGTCAGATCCACACATCCACACCCATCGACATTCACATCAGTGATTGGACTAGTACAAGTACGCCAAGTAAAAGTACAAATACTTTTTACTTAAGAGCCATTGCATGTAAGCCACGACCCGGAGTGCTCAATCGACCATCTCCGATTTCGTTCATTTTTATATATGTGATAGAGGAAAGTGTTTGATGATGTCTGCCGAAAACCACATCGAAAAACGTTGATCCACTGGGTTTTTATTGAACTTCTACAAAAACTTCCAAAATCCTCGATCATGAGAAAACCGTTCATTGTTACGACTGTATCTCGAGAACGGCTGAACAGATCGAGCTCAAACTTTCTATGAACACTCATAGCTAATGATGCTATCATCAGAAAAAATTTCAAGCAAATCGCTTGTACCATTGGTTTTCTGCAAATATCCTTTGGAGGGGTGAAAATGCTAATTTTACCCAGTTTTGGGAGCCTACATCTGGCGACTAGAGCATGATGGAGTCTTGAAACTTTTTTTGCAAAAAGATCTTGATGATATCTTATTTCGGTAAAAGTTTCAGCTTGCCTGTGCAAAGTGTTCGTTTTTAACAACCGAAGCAAAGTCGGATTTTTCGTAAAAAACGCGATTTGGGACGTTGGCGGTCTCAAAAAATATACAATAGCTAATGAGCGGAATACTTGGCCCCGAAAGCCTCATCTTTAGTCTACAACTTGGTGCAAAAACCTTCACGGGATCTCTATGGGAGCCTTGGCCATAGGAGCTGCGCGGTTACCCCTATACCAAGTAAGTGACTTTTGACCCTAAATCTCAACAGCGATGAGGAAAGCTATTTAGATATGATATATAGGTAACTTTTCACGGAGAAAACGATGCTAATAATGTCAACTGTGTTCATATTCAAAATTTGGTGGGGGGGGGGGGGGGGGCGGTTTAAGAAACATTAGCTGGTATCTAGAGAATGTGCTTTTTCGATGTAGTTGAGAAGATTTGGAATCTTCGAAAACTTTTAGATGTATCTAATTATTGAAGTAGTGAAGTTTTCGTGTCGATCTTTATACGTTTCAATACTCAGAAGCGGCACCGCTTCTCCATGGTGATCTCGAGTTAAGTTATTCGAGTACTATATACTTGAACTGGACTTTAAATTGAATGTTTCTAAACGTGTTGGAGTATTCTTTATTCGATACAAATATGACTAATACTACCGATTAGTAACTATGCAGCTAGATATTAGTTCATAAGGAATGCTAGTCACAGCTATTCCCTATTTTCTTCTAAAAGTTCGACGATCAATTCTTGCTTGGCTGTGACACCATATTTGGCTCCCAACTTCCTGAATTGATATTTTATCTGATTTATAGTTGCGTATTCGTGAGACTGAAATAATTTTTCACCGTTGGAGTTGTCACGTTCGGTACGCATCTGTTGTTGGACTTACTCAGGCGTAAGGTTTGAGCGTGTCTTTTGCGAATTAAGCCACATGTCTTCGATGAAATCTTTTGTCTTTTCACTCATCAGCGTCTTGTGCTTGCAAGTGCGTAAAGCCCATCCTGGTAATGACAAATATTGATAATGAGCCGAACTAGACATATCGGTATGTGATGAGTTCTGAGATTTCTTTATTTTGACTTTTTCTTGCTGTGACTGAGTATTTGTTGATCGTACAGTCTCGATCAGATGAAACCGAGCGATATCATTAGTTGTTCTTGAATTTGATGGTGGAACCTTATATAAATTGGCTGCGATGTGTGAGTCGAGATCAGCGCTAGATTCGAAAGTGCAGGTGCATCCACTCACAGGACACATAAAAAACTGGTGATATTCACGATCGGTTCTTCTGAATAAAAATAAAAGTTAAGAAAAGTGAAAGGTAACTCTTTTACTTCTTCGACACAACAGCACAGCCTTGACCGAATAGTTAACTATCTCCTTCCATTTGATCAAAAAATTCGTTATTTATTATATAAATCGATTTCTAGATGAATCTATATTGATTATCTTATTATACATAAAGATTGACAACGGAGATTATTCATTATTTTAATAATCTATCCTAGAAACATTATATTGATCTGAACAATTTTGACACAATTTATTTCTCTCTACTGAACGATCGCTAACAAACGATTAATATTTCATCCGATTTGAACGTGTTTTGTCGAAAATCTGTTTTTAACTGCTAGCTGAAACGTTCTATAAGACGAAATAATGATAAAATAGTTCGAATTATCGATTCAAAATTTCTAAGGAAATAAATTTAATCGATCCTTATAAAAATGTTTTGAAAATAAATTTATTTGAATAGGATATTTATCGATATGGTTAAACAAAGAAATTCGAAAATAAAAAATAAAAATATTTTGTTTTTTTTTATATTTATTAATATAGAAGTGGTGATATACCTGATTGTTACAATCGAGTTCGTTATATTCGAGATTCTTGTAAAGTGTTGTCTGATCTTTGGAAAACAGATAAAGATTTTGTAAGTTCAATAATTAAATTAAAAAAATAAAATAAATGTTTAGTTAAATAAAAGTATTGATAATGATGTATCAAAATCATTGAAAAAATTTCGTTTGAGTGATGTTGCACGTTGTTATCGTTCTCCATAAAAAACAAATGGTGCTTTATAGATTTTAAATCAAACAATTGATGATTTAATTCAAATACATGATTTTATTGATTCAAAAAGAAAAGAATGGCTTGAACAATTTAAAAAAATTATTGAACAATCTAGGAGGCATTGCACGTAAGCCACGACCACCCTTGCTCAATCGAT